CTGCTTCACCATGGGTCATGTGCAAATGACACTGATGGGGGAATAACATGGTGGGTTTGACTGAAGAGTTATCACTCGGAGCACTGAAGCCCCAGGGGTGGTATTGATGACTGTGGAATAACTTGGTGTCACTGTGGAAGGAGATGTAGCTCAGCAATTTTGTTCACTTCAGAAAAGTCACCTGTTGTTCCAAATGTTGCTAAAGACATTATGTGGATATTTGTAGCTGAGTTATTCCATTTTTTTGACACATTTGAAGAGAAGGTGGTGCCATCAGAGGGCCTCAGGGATCTGCTTTTTGCTCTGCTGATAATTTCTGCTCTTTTCACTACATTCTCTTTGACATTGGCAGCTGCTGGTAGAGCATGACTTGTGGTAGGAGGACTTACTGTGGTAGTCATATGAAGAACAAATCTCTGTGAAGTTAGTTGCACTGGAGACTGATGGTTTTTTGTAATGGAGCTATTTCCTTTATTTGTTTCTTTTACTTCTTCAGCCTCAGTATTGTTTCTGTTCCATTGCAGTCTTACAATGCAGAAAAATGAGAATCATTCCACAGGAGGGTTGCAGGGTGTTGAGTTCAAAGTTTATTTTATAGAGAACCTGCAAGAAATTCACTTTTAAAAATAGTTTTATTTAACCAAACCAAGTTACTCACTGAAGACGCAAATAAGTTGGTAAAATAAGTTAGTGTTATGCAATAGAAATCTCACTGATTTATCACGTGTTGATGCTGGAAACGTTATGTCCCTAAGTGTTAATGACATAAGAATCACCTAAATTAATATTGATGATCAATAAAATTAATCAATATCAATTGCAATATTGATCTCAGTGTGCTGGTGGAGATGTTGTAGGATAGCTCACGTGGCTGGAATGTTGTCATGGAGGGCTACACACTGCTTAGGATAGAGAGGACCAGGAAGGACATGGCGACAGAGTTGTCCTGTGTGAGGCAAGACTTGGAATGTATTCAGCTCTGACTTGGGGTAGGAGTAAGTTGAGAACTTATGAGTCAGGATAAAGGGGATTACTCCTAAGGGTGACACTGTTGTGGGTGTTTGCTACAGGCCAGCTGATGAGGAATAAAAAGTGGACGAGGTTTTCTGTAGACAGCTTGAAGCAGCCTCAAAGTCACAACACTGGTTCTTGTGAGGGACTTTACCTACCTTGACATCTGCTGGAGAAGCAACACAGCACAAACGGTCCAGGAGACTCCTGGAAAGCATTAATTACAACTTTCTGAAACAGGTAGTAGAGGATTCCCCAAGGAGTGGCATGTTGCTTGACCTCATACTAACAAACAGGGAAGTCTTGGTGGAAGTGTGAAGGTTGGGAGCCACCTTGGCTGCAGGGATCATGTGATTGTGGAAGTCAATACTAGATAAAGAGGACACAAGGCAGCAAGTAAAATTGCAACCATGGTATTCAGGTGAGCTCACATTACCCTCTTTAGGGATCTCTTGGAAAAATCCCATGGGAATTGGCTCTGCAGGGAAGAGGGATCTAAGAGGGCTGGTTGATGTTCAAGGACCACTTTCTCCAGGCTCAAGAATGATGAATTCCATTGAGAAAGGAATCAGGCAAAGCAGTCAAAAGACCTGTGTGAATGAATAAAGAATTCCTGTCAAGCATGAGCAGGAAATACCAATACAGGAGATTGAAGCAGGGTCAGGTCACTTGGCATGCATATAGAGAGGTGATCAGAGGAAGTAGGATTGAAACAAGGAAGGCCAAGGCCCATCCGGAATTAAATCTGGACAAGGATGTGAAGGACAACAAGAAAGGCTTATACAAAGGCTTATCCATAACAAAAGGAAAACTAAGGATCACGTGGCCCATTACTAAGTGGAGGAGGAGGCCCTTGTAGCTGAAGACACAGAAGAGGCAGAGCTACTGAGCATCTTCTTTGCATTGGTCTTCCCTGACATGACCAGCCCCAGGAATCTTTGTCCCAGCTGCCCAGGGTAAAAGAAGGTTGGGTTCCTTGCTGAAGCACGACTGGGTGAGAGAACCCTTAGACAAACTTGACATCCACAAGTTCATGGGCCTTGACAAGATGCATCCATGAGTGCTGAAAGAGTTGGCAGACACCAAAGCTAGGCTGTTTGCAAACGTCTTTGAAAGGTCTTGGTGATCAGGACAGGTTCCCAAATGCTGAAAGGAAGCAAATGTCATCCGAATCTTCAAGTGAAAGAAGGAGGACCCAGGAAACTGCTTAACAATCAGCCTCACCTCAATCCCAGAGAACTGAAATCATTGGCAGAGGGTCTGGCTGTAGGCCTGTCACTGCTGGTGTACCCCAAGGTTCAATACTGGTCCCAGTATTGTGTAACTTACTCATCAATGACTTGGACCAAGGTGCAGATGCCCCCTCAGCATGTTTGCTGATGACACAAAGATGGGAGAAATGGCCCCAGAGTGCTGTGCATCCCTTCAGAGGGACCTCAACAGGCTGGAGAGATGGACAGAGAACTGTGTCAAATTCAACAGAGGGAAATGCAGGGTCTTGCACCTGGGGAGGAACAAGCCCATGCACCAGTACAGGCTGACCTGCTGGGCAGCAGCTGTGTGGAAAAGGAGCAGGGGGTCCTGGTGGATGACAAATTGTCCATGGGCCAGCAGCATGCCCTGCTCAGCCCTTGTGAGGCACATCTGGAGTGAGTGCCTGGTGAGGCACATCTAGAGCGCCTGGTGAGGCACATCTAGAGCTCTGTGTCCTGCTCTGGGCTCCTCATGTCAAGAAAGACAAGGAGCTCCTGGAGTTGTTGAAAGGCTGAGGGAGCTGGGCCTGTTCATCCTTGAGGAGAGATGACAGAGGGGATCTCATCAATATATCTGGGTATCTGAAAGGGAGGGTGTTAAGAGTCTGCTTAGTGCCAAACAATAGGACAAGATGCAATGAGCAGAAATTAATGCACAGTAATTTTCACCTGAATATTAGGGAGGACTTCTCTCCTACTTGCTCTGAAAGAGGCTGCTCAGAGAGGCTGTGGAGTCTCCCTCATTGAAGGTATTCAAGAACTGCCTGTTCTTCAATATCTCAGTCAGCATATGGCAGTCATGTGCCATATGCTCTTGGATGACCCTCCTTGAACAGGGAGGTTAGATCAGATGATCCACTCCCTTCCAATCTTACCCATTTCACATTTCATGATTCTGGAACAAAAGCTTCATTTCGTAAGAAAATTCCATGTTTCTATAAACAGACCTCATACTCAGAAGGGAATAAATCAAAACCACATTGATAATTCAAATCCATGTTGCTATGGAGTGAGGTCATGAAACATATATGGATGGTGTTCTCAAGGCAATGTTTTCTGGGCAGATAGCAATTCTAAGAGCATGCCAAAGATTTCTGCTGCCTTGTGAAGAATTAGAATTTTTACAATTAACTTGGAAAGTTGATGGATAATATCTTGTGGCCTTGAGCAGTGAGTGTCATGTGAATGCTGCCAGGAGCAAATTGAAAACCAAATCAGTCCAGAGGTTATGAATGAGGCTGAATTTGTGTGCAAACTTCTTTTGCAGTACAAAACTGGAAACTGTGTATTAAGCATTAATTTTTCAAATGTTAGATTGAGAAGAATGAGAAAACCTCACCTTGAAGTCACATGATTGTGGTAGGTGTGCTGTTCAGCATATGTTGTTCAGTGAGGTTTTGGTGAGGGGTACTTTTTCTATATATGAAGCAGATTGGGATGATCCACTTTTTAACTCCCACACATGAACTCTCATACGACAGAACAGTAAATTCCATCATTAGTTATTCTTCAGTGTCATTAATTATTTGGCTGTCCATGTATGTGGGTATTTCACCACCTGAATGAAGGAGATTTATACCTGAAAATAGTAGCTTATTTCTTTTGTCTGCAAGCCTCGCCTACTTTCTTATACTTTTTCCTATGAGTGATTTTTTTAGAGGGTTTGTGTTTTGTTGTTTTTCTTTTTTTAAAAATTTTATTTTAGATGTTTTGTTTCGAGCAGGGGCCAGAGAGAATAAGGGCTGGTTCTATTAACTTGTTCATTTGGGTTTTTTTGTTGAGTGTGTGTTATTCCCAGCTTAGCTTCTTTGTATGCAACACTGTTAGAACAATGTGAAGAGTATATATTATATAAATTATACATAATTATGTAGATATTGGTATAATATATAACTAATTATGATAACTAATTATTATCAGGTATGTATAGAAACCCAAAAAGATATTAAGCATAGTACAGAAATATAGATAAAGGTAGGAATACGTGACCCTCCTGTTTATTTTGAGTTAGAAGTCCTTCTTTTGAGCAGTTGGTTTTCTAGAAGGAAGCAAATTTTCCTACTTCCTATTTGAATTCATTGTTTTTCAAAGAACAGTTGGACGATTCTGTGTTTTGTCAGGAGTCACACCCTAAGCAAGGTTACCTCTCCTCAGTGGCAGACAACAGTGTTTTCGAAATTTGGAGTTAATTATTAGGTGTAATTATCTTATCCAAACCCCTAAGTGTATAGAAAATCTGATTATGGTCTCATACCTAAGAATTATTAGAAATAATTGTCTAAAGAATTATTCTAGTGGCAAGACTGCTACAGTATAAAACTGGTATAGCTGGGAAAGAAGTGAGGTTCTTCTTTGAACTGAATAGAAGGAGATAGCTCATGGGTCCTTATTAATAGATATCATTGTGTATGTGTTTCCTTGTTTCTTCAAGAGAAGATTCTACGTGTTGAATAAAATGAAAAGCAAAATGATGAATTTAAAGGGATGACAGTGTCTCATGTTGTCAGGTGCCTATTTCTGTACAGCTACTGCAGACAACAAAAATATGTTTCTTAGATAAACATTGTTAAGTACTGTTTTAAATTTAACAGGGATTATCCTGAAGCTACTTAGAGTTTTCAGATTCTATGAGGAAAACTGTCAGAAAGTGGCTAATGATATGTTACATTGCTGATTTTCTTAAGATGTGCATGGCCCTTTCCCCTCCTGTAGTTAAAGTACAGTTGTTTTCCGCAGCAACAGTCTTTCTGGAGTTTTGGAAAAGACGGAGAGCTGTATTGACTTATGATTGGGACCTCATAGACTGGGAAGATGAAGAGGTAAGGAGAAATAAAAGTTTACATGTAAACCATGCTATCAGCATGGTTAAAGTCTCAGTATCAATCCATATTGTATGTTAGTCATCTGAGTTGGTCATTCAGATCGTATTTGTAGCACTAGTTGCAGAATACAAAGGTATGCTTGAGATTGTACAAGGATACTTTGCTTTTTGCAACTAACATTATAATTCCAAATATAATTGTACATTTATTAAAAGTATCCTTGGAAAAACTGAGTGCAAATACTTCCTGTATTTGTAATACTGTACAAATACAGAGGACAGTAGCTGCTTCTGATGTCAGTACAGATGCCTTTCAGTTCCATGGTCTTGTTCTGGAAATTCTTGATCCTGCATAAAAATAAGACCAAGACAAGCAACAAGACAGAAACTAGATTTTGTATCCTTGGAGAGGCATAACCTATCCTTGAACATTCTGTTATCAGCATCAGCAATAATAATTTATTTTATTCTATAAATTACTAGTCAGCATAGTTGTAGTTTACCTGTATTGGTGATTTAATTGCAGTTTAAGTCTATAGACTTCACTTGTTTTGCAGCTTTCTGTGGATGGGTAGATAGAAGCTGGTGGCTATTTTTAATAAATGCTCTCATAACACAAACAACACCATTCTAAGTGGCCCTAATTTATAGTTTTGTTACCAATTGTCATAGACAACCTAGTGTCTAAGTCAGCAATATGACCCATGATTCTTTTTAACACCCTCACATAGTGGGGAAGGCTCCTGTGGTTTCTGTTCTTTGGATTTTCAAAAGAGCAAATTATTTAGGTATTTGAGTTGCAGCATTATGAAAAATGATCCTTATCAGTATAATGTTCTACATGTATGTCTGATCCTTGAAAGAAATTAGTAATACAACAAATGGAATCCACCCTGTCATTCCAGGAAGAGCTGCGTCCCCAGTTTGAAGCTAAATATTCCCAAGTGGAAAGAGTAAATCCCATCACAGGAAAACCTGAACCTTTTCAGCCTTTCCCTGATAAGCTCAGTCGACTGATGGTGTCTGTCTCAGGAATATTCTTCATGGTGATGTTTCATAATATTAGAACTGTTGTATTGTAATTCATCTTACTGTGATGTAAATAGTAACTCAGCATGAGTGCATTCATTAAGATTAGTAGATTTACGTAACAGGCAAAACTGCTTGTCTGTCTTACTGCTTTGTTTCCCAAGATGGAGTATAATTATATTGGAAAAGAAGAGTAAAGAAATGCTGTAACTCATCTTAGTTTTTTTTGTTCTCTCAAATTCTGCTCTCCAAAACAAATATTAGTCTTTAAAACACTTGTTTTATTATTTCAGCGGATATAATTTCAGATGTGATTCCTTTTGTTCTAATACTTCTGCTCATAAATACATATCTGTAGATTTCACTGGTCCTTACTGCAGTGTTTGCAGTTGTGGTGTATCGACTGGTAGCCATGGAGCAGTTTGCTTCTTTCAAGTGGTATTTCATCAAGAAGTATTGGCAGTTTGCAACATCTGGCACTGGAGTCTGTATTAATTTTATGATCATCATGTCACTCAATGTTGTAAGTCTTCTGTTCTTTTAAAACAACAATTAATTTAAAAGACTAATTTTTAAAAGCTTACTGAGTTACCCATGTGTTAGATATATACATGTTCATGCTTTTTCAGGTAGCAGTATCTGAAGCTAGTATTGCAGTGGATTTTTCTCCTCTGATACAATGTTTGTTAATGTTTTTATCTAAATCCTCATTGATTTGTCACTGCACATCTTCGCTTATGTCACCAAGTTACAAGGGTATAGATTGCTGCTTTTTACATTTGTATTTTTTTAATATTACCTTTTGCAATAGATCTCTAATTTGAGATGTAGTTCTAATTTGAACTACATTATTTTCTTGACTGAGAATTTGGTTTCTAGGTTGTTTTTGATTAATGACTTCTTATTAAAATGCAGCTGTGATATCAGTGTTGCACAGTCCTGGAATCACTGTGATATGTGATTTTGGTATTAGCTTTTTCTGTCATGTAACAGCACAGGTTTAATCATTTGCTCCTATAGCATTACATGGACAGAAACTCTGTTATTTCAGCTGCTTTATTATTCATCATCTTTCTGTTCCCATGCAAGTACAAACAGATAAAAAGGAATAATAACCCAGCAAACATTGGCTTTTAGTTCTCTTAAGGAATTGCACTTGCTGCAATAAGAAATAATTCTTCCAATCAGAGTCCTCTAGTTATTTGTGTTATTATGTACGATCACTCCACATCATAAAATGTATATTCAAGTGAACAAGCAAAGCTATCCAAAATAACTTGCTATTTGTAGTGTACTGTCGGAAATGTATTTTGGAGTCGGCAATTGCCTGGGGCTACATGACATTTAAAATAAAAACTTGAGATGGTCAATATATAGAGAGAAAAGTTTTTGGTACAAGGCTGATATCCTCAGCAAAGGAAAACTGAACTGTGTTACCTTGATGCTATAGAGCAAGAGAATACCATGCTTTGATGCTTGTTTTCAGTGTGGATTTGTCATCACTACAGCCAGGATGTCCTGTACTTAGACCATTTCATTTCTTTTTTAGGTGTATGAAAAAGTTGCCTATCTCCTGACAGATTTAGGTATGTAGGTCTTTATAATGGTGTGGTTCTTGATGGCTGTGGCATATACCTTTATAGTATACTTCTTTATTTAACTTCAAAGAAGTGTTTTGAAAAATTGATCTGTGAAGTACATTTCTGGCATTTCCCTAAGCAAGTGAGAAATATCACAGAAAGAAAATACATTAGTATTTCAGTGAGGAAATAAAACTAAGGAATTTGTTCTTCTACTTTTAATGTTTCGTGGTATACATTGAAAAATAGTAATCTTATTTTGAAGCAAAAGTCAAAACTTATTCTTTCTTAGCATGCTGAAGAGGTTTTTCTATTTTCCCCAAGTTCTTGGTTTATTTTTTATTAAGTTTTAATTTGATCTTTCAGATGGAAAAAAAATGGGTTAAGATAAAATTAAGTTGTCCCAGATAAAAATGTTGAGTCATGAATTTTATAGTAGCTCCAATTTGGTAACATTAAAATTTTATACTGAAGCCTCTAGTCATGATTCAATCACAGACATAAAGCTTTCTAGCTTATAGAAAACAAGAAAACAAAGATAGAATTTAAGATCTCTGGCTGTGTCAATGTGTTACTATTTAGTGTTTCATTTTACATGCTCACTTTTAGCCCATGTCAAAATATGCAAGTAATTTTGTCTTGGTTAAATGCCAGCTGGCTGCTTAAATTCCACAGCTCCCTCTTTTGGTTAAAGTGTTAAACGAGGTGCTCAAAGCTTTATAGTGCTTCACCTAAGAGGCAATAGAACAGGCTAGAAAAATTCAGAATTTATCGCCAACTTACTTGAATTCCTAAAATATTTTAAAGTATTCTTTCATATCAAAATTATTTCTATTCCTTTTAAAGTATTTTGTATTGTTACAGGTCACAGAATGGGAAAGAAAATAATTAAGTGTTTAAGCAGTTTTTTCCCAAAATACTTGAAAGAATTTTTTTCAAAAAAGATTTCTTGAATTAAATATAAAGGAACATTAGGTGTTTCAGATAGGTAGCTCATTCTTCTTGCTAAGGTGTTTTACATCAGAAAAGCACACCCTTCTGGAGACAACTGTCTCTATGTAAAGCTAGTAGTATCCTGTATATTTCTATCCAAATTTAGTCGTCAGTAGACCAGGGTAGTTAAGTAGAACAAATTTTAACTGACAAATCCAGGAAGTTTTAACTTACAGCTCATATGCTTTTACAACTCATGTGCTTTAAAATTTTTGCCAATGTACTGCATTCCAACTTTGATATGTCTATCAAAGATGGATTTTGTAAAAATTAATTTGTAAACATTATGACCAAATTCTAATTCAGACATAAATAATCTTAAGGAAAGATATCCAAGGCAGAGTAGACACACATAGAGCACTTGTAGCCCTACTACACGTTTCTACATTTCTTTCCAAAAGAAGCCAAGAGAGAGCCTCTGTCCTTTCCTCGCTGAATTATAAACTGTTTGGCACTCCTCAAGCTTTATGAAAGGGAACTCCTAAGGATGAAGTAAAGGTTTTACAGAAGTATTTAGAGGGTGAGGAGCTTGGATGAGAAATCAGCTAGCTTTTAGGTGACTCTTTGACCTCTGCTCCCTGGGCAGCTCAACTGATTCCAAGTGCTTTCAAGTTTTTTGGGGGGGGGTTGGGTTGGGTTGGGTTTTGTTTGTTTTGGAGTTTGGTTGGGTTTTGTGGGGATTTTTTGTGGTGAGTTTTTTTCTTTGAATCAAGATATCTTTAATCTTAAGATAAAAAATTCACACTGGTTTCCAGTTTTTTTCATGGAAGTGAAACAGGTATTTTCCCATAGTATTATGATTTATGCTGGACCAAGGGGTTCCTATCTTCTGCTTTCACATAGAAACAACGTAGTCCAAGCTGGGGCAATGAAAAGAAATCAATGGTAACATGATGGGGCACCATGATTTAAAACCATCACTTGTTTTGTTAATATTGATTGATTTGTGAGCAAACTTATGCATAACTCAATTTCATTTTTGTTTCTGTAATGTATGTTGTGTCTTTTTGAAGAGCACCCTAGAACAGAATCTGAGTGGGAAAACAGCTTTGCCTTGAAAATGTTCCTCTTCCAGTTTGTCAACTTGAACAGCTCCATCTTCTACATCGCCTTTTTTCTTGGCAGGTAAGTTATGTTTGCCAATTGCACTTAAAAGAAAACTTGCACAGAACTCAAAATCTTCAATAATTCTATAGATTTGAAGAAAATACAGGGACAGTATGAACTGTAAGGTTTAGGTATGAGTTGGTTTCTGGGCATAATTAAAAAACTATTTCTAAATGTATGGAAGGGTTGGACCATTGTAATGTTTACTCATGAAACTGGAGAGTAAAAATTCTACTTTTTATTGGAATGTACAGTAACTTTCTTACTAAATAAGAAGGCAGAACTTTTGAAAATGCAGTCACTTCCTAGATGTGGGTCTGTATTTAGCCCTGTGTTAATAGCCTTTATTAATATTTTCTTGTTTATTCTGCTTGAGTTACATTTCCAATAATGCATTTCTGTAAATATTAAATATTGTCTGGCAAAAGCTATACAAGAGCAGGAAGCAAAAATTCTGGCTCTAATTTTTATGGGTATCTTTAGATTAGAGCATGAGATACAGCACAGATGTAACCTTACTTCATCTTCAGTTGAATTTTGTAATGATCACATGTACCATTCCTGCAGAACCTACAGAACATTTCAGGGTATCTTCTGTAAAGTTTTACAGTATAATTTCAGTTCAGGATTGTTTGGAAAAAAACCTAACAAAAACAAAAAGTAGAGAAACAAAAAAAGCCTGGTAAAGACTGTTCGTGAGAATCTGTTTGTTGCATTCAGTGGGGTATTCACCATCAATACCAAAATTTCTGTGTGTATTGCACTCTTCTGTACCTAACAGGACCAGGCATGGGTTTCTTTCTTTTATAACTTTCATTGAGGTCATCAAGAGCTGGGATTTGCTTTACAAATCAAGTGTACACTTCACATGGGCAAGCAGATCCCTGTGCTGCAGTTAATTCCCATTAGTTGTAGTGGCTGGCTTGACTTCTTTGAAGTAGATTAGAGTTTGAATAGCTAACATCTAAAATCTCTGAAGCTAGGATTTTTATTCAGGACATAATAAAAGTTTAGGATCATTTGCAAAATGACGGTCTTTGTTTGCATTCTGAAACTTCCATATCCTACACTAGATTTAGGCCTGTGTGATTTATTCTGTTGGTATTTCCTGAATCTGAATTCACTGGATGTTGTGAAACAACTACTGATACAGGGTGTTTCTGGAATGTCCACTGAGAAACAGAAATCTTATTTTCCAGATTTGCAGGCCGCCCAGGAAAGTACAACAAGCTTTTTAACAGATGGAGGCTGGAAGAGGTAAACAATCTTGTTTTCTGCTCCTGTGATATTTCCATGAGTAAAAAGGCGGTGGCTGAAGCCCAGTTTAAAGATTTTATTATTCCAAGCACAGCAAATATTAAACTCTAGTTTATAGCAAAGGATAGGATCCAGGAGATGGATTTTTCCTTCTGTGTTCTCCAGTGTGCTGAGTGACTGTGCCTAAGGCACACAAGTTCTTTCTATCTGTCTTAGGGAAAAGCCATCAGTAATAGACCCTTACCTCACACGCACTGTGACTCCTGTGAGATTGGAATCTCCTGGTATTTGGGATTTTTGGATAGAGGACATAAATATAAAGCCATCAGCTTTTTAATCAACTTGCTTAATTTCTCTCAGCACAGAAAAAAAAATGGATCTTTTGGAATGGGCCCAGAGATGGGGCCACAAAACGAATCAGAGGGCTGGAGCAGCTCTCCTATGAAGGCAGGCTGAGTTGGAGATACTCAGCTTGGAGCAGAGAATGCTCCAAGGAGACATTACTACTGCCTTTCGGTACTTAAAGGTGCTTCAAGGAAAGAAGGGGACAAATTTTTAGTAGGGTCTGTTGAGACAGGGCAAGGATTACTGATTTTAAACTAAGAGAGGCTAGGTTTAGACTAGGTGTAAGGAAAGGTTTTTAAAATATGATGATGAAGATGATGATGAAACACTGGGACAGGTTATCTGGAGAGGTGATGGATGTCTTATCCCTGAAAACATTCAAAGTCAGGTTGGATGGGACTCCTTTAGTTGAAAATGGCCACACTTACTGCAGAAGTTTGGACTAGATCACCTTAAGGGATCCTTTCCAACCCAAAATAATCTATAATTTTATAGAGTTCTAGAGGAAGATGAATAGTATTTTCAAAATTTAACTAGACTGTTAGAATTGCAACTTACCAGCATGCTTAAGTTTCTTCTTTTCTCTGAAAATCAAACTACTTCTACTGCAGCTTGGTAGTCAAAGAGTAAAATATTATAACTTTGTAGTCAATTAATTGAAAAATAGTTCTGTAATTAACATTTTAACATGGCAGTACACACACACAAGGATAGATATATATAGATAACCTATCAGTACCAGAAATTCTGCTAATTAAGTCTTTCTTTAGACTTAGATTATTGCAGATGAAATATTGCTCCATTTTTTTGAAATGAGTAAGTACTTATTGGTCTAAGTGAAACAGTCTCTATCATTTATCATAAATCTAGCACACATACCTTTAAATTAGCCAATATGATCTAATATCTAACAATATGTCTGAAGGTAGTTCAGCTGAAGTCCGTTAATTTTTATTTTATTAACATTTCTTTTAATATTTCTGCAGATGGCAAATAATGTTTTTAAACACACATACTTAATATTTTTTATTTACACTCTGAACAAATAAAAATAAATGAATTCTCTGATTTTAGCTGTTGGTCTCTTCCACTTTATTTCAGTGTCATCCTAGTGGCTGCTTGATAGATCTGTGCTTACAAATGGGAGTTATTATGGTGTTAAAACAAATGTGGAACAACTTCATGGAACTAGGCTATCCGTAAGTTCAGATGTTAAAGTTCATTTTAAAAACAGTAAATCCATGTTAGCCTGATTCAGTGCTAGGGAGAAGTGGTTTTATGTTTGGAGAATGTTTTCACTCATTCCACCTCAGATATTGTCACTTTATTCCCAAGGAAAGCATTGTCTTCCACTCAGAGATAAAGATTCTCAGGGTGTGTTAAGCATCTCAGTTGTTTATTAGGATTTCATTTTCCATAATACAGAGATGTTCAGCCTCTGAAATGACTAATGAGCTAAGAGTCTTACACTTCTCTTGAAACGGTAAGAATATGTTTCCTGTATAATATTGATCATCAAATATTGATCAAATTAAAGTCTCAGCCTTGAAAATATGTTAGAAAGGATTTTGCTCACAACATGCAATTTGCAATTGTTCTGCACGTGAGGGACAGTGTACTGTATGTTGTGGAATGAGGATTTTTGAAGTTAAGAAACCTACTTTAACTGCCAGGCTTCCTGTCTTCTCAGCCAAGCAGGATGTTAACCTTGTCTAAAATTTATTTTAGAACATGCTTATGTTCTGTTACGGAAATAAATGTTTTGTTTTGACAAAACCATTGTTTGCAACATAGGCAACTGTTTATCTTTCAAACAAACAAAAACTGCTCTTTCAGTAACAAGAGGGATCAAGAGCCAAACACTAAATTAGCTTGAGAGAAAAAAGAGCAGCCTTTTTATGAAAACACTTACAAGAAAGTTATTTCCCATCCTTAATCTCTCTTCCATATTATCTAGAAACAAATAGAAGCCTTTAGTTAGCCCATGTGTCAGTACTAGATAGTATTTTTCATTTAAATAACATTTTAATTCATGAGCCTATCTCCATAATATTTATGACTCCTTTGTGAAAAGATTTTGCACAGCTTTATGAAGAATAGTCTTAAATATTTCCACATACAGCAACACCTCTTTAAATGCTTTTTCCTGCTTTAAGAAGAGAAGTATTCTGTAGAACATCTAGACCTTTACATTTGTTTAAAAATATATGTATTCTACTATTCAGTGTGTTTTACTATGGTATTTTTACTGGGTTCCACTGACGTGGTTTGTCTTTTACAGGATTGAAATAAAGCATTATTTATTTTTTAGTGCTCTTGCTATGCATGATTTTTAATTTTTTTTTTTATTTAGTCATTCAGGTAAATCCTACCAAAATAAAAAAAAAGTCCATGCAAGCATGTTCCATATTATGAAAAGCTTATTTATACAATGCAAAACATGCTACATTAAAGACAATTAAAATAATAATGCAGAATTATGAGATCTTCTGTAAGTTCTTTGCATTATATCTAAGAGGATATTGTAAAATTTTCCATAAAATATTTAAGTAATCATTCAGATGCTGTTCAAAACAGGGCTGTTTATTTCAGAACAGTACAAGAACATATTTTAGATCTGTGAGCAGATACAGTCATTAATACTCTCTTTATCTAATAAAGTTTATTACAGAATTGGTGGTCACGACGCAAAATGAAGAGAAGAGGGCAATCAATGGAGAATAAAATTTCTCTACCTCAATGGGAAAAAGACTGGAATCTGCAACCTATGAATCTCCATGGTTTAATGGACGAATATTTAGAGATGGGTGAGCAAATCTGGGAGGTGTTGGTTTTCTTCAGAAGGCAGAACTATGTTGCACGTTATAAGATTTTTTTGAATTTCCAATTTCTAACCACGGAAATGCCTGTCTAGTTTTACAGTTTGGCTTTACCACCATCTTTGTGGCTGCCTTCCCCCTGGCACCTCTCCTGGCACTGCTCAACAACATCATAGAAATCAGATTAGATGCATACAAGTTTGTCACTCAGTGGCGAAGACCCATGCCTGCAAGAGCAACAGATATAGGTGAGAAAACCCAGTGATTGCCACTGCCAGCTACCATCTCTTTGGGTTTTCCTCTTGAGAACAGCTCCACCCCTGAAGTATTTCATGTGTCAGGATGGTGACATAACCAACAGATTTCAGTGACAGCTTTCATTTTTGGCAACAAAGAAATAGTTCGTTGATTTGCATAGAGGATTCCTCAAGTTTGTTTCCTATTTACAATAAGGAATTGTTATAATTTGAATATTGGAAACAGGCTAAAATTATTTCAGGCTTCTGATTTGTGGAACTCTAGGTCTAAAATAAATTGAATTTAGAAGCTAAATAAAAGGACTGAATTAAATTTTAATTTAAAATTTAATTAAATAAGAAATCTCTTTCCAGAACTTCCTATTTGGCCTTCATAACAACTTGTTATGGCTTTGTTGCTTGGCTTGTCTTCTCAGCAGGGTGTGCCCTATTGTAAGATTTCATTTGGGTGGCACGGGTGGTGGCTGCAATGTGGGGACATGGCTTCATCTGATTAGTTTTTCTGTCTCATAACTCATTCTCTACAAGAAAGGAAAACTATTAGTCATTAGTATGACTAATTATCAGTCATTAGTTATTAAATTATTAAATTTAATAGTAATTAAATTATTAGTCATTAGTATATTAAATTATTAGTCATTAGTATGACTAATAATGACTTTATTATCACTGATATGACTCAATATGACTATAAAAAAACTGACTATTTTGTTGAAATTTCTCTTGTTTCTAGGTATTTGGTATGGAATTCTGGAAGGAATTGGAGTTCTGGCTGTCATCACCAATGCCTTTGTTATTGCCATTACTTCTGATTACATTCCACGTTTTGTCTATGCATACAAATATGGTCCCTGTACAGATCAAGGGTACAGACAAGAAAAGTAATTAGGATATTCTTTATATATACATGTATTTTTGAGTGGAACACAATTTACTGCTGTATTTCTATGATAACATATATCAGATATATTTCTTTACACCTGTGCAAACCTTCCCAGATCTGAAGAGTAAGTCCAAAGAGTTTGCAGAGTAGCTCTTTATAGAAGTGGAAAACCATCTCTTCCCTCCTGAATGCAAACAAAAAAGTCTGTACATTGCATCAGTTCTCAGATCTTTTCTAGAAAAGCTTTTCCTCTTCTCTGCAGTAGGTCTATGCTGTCTTCTCCCAGTGCATTCCCAAATACGCATATATGCTCCCAAAAATAGTGATTTACTCTTCCTGAGCTGTCACAGGAAAAGAGAGTTTAAGGGTAAAAATAGTGAGATGGGATAGGAAGAAAAGAGACACTATCAGAAAAATGTTAGTGCTTGATGCACCCTACCCGTTTAAGAGAGAACTGTGTAGTTCTTTTGTCAGTAGTGGTTTTGAGGTATTACAGCAAACCAGAAGATCCAGGATTGTAAAAGGATTCCTCATGCATCTCTTCTTATATCTTCTTTGACTTTCAAATGTGCTTTAGTTGTTACAAGACAGATTTAAAGAAGATTGGATATCTTTCATGTCTGTGGCTTTTCAAGCAACAGCAAAAATTCACTCCAACAGTCATAAATCAATATATTTATATAATTTCTGTAATTAATAGTAATACTTTTTTGCCTTTAATGTAAGTGTTTGGTATATATACACTGTTCATATTACTGTTGATGAAAACTCATAAAACCTGTTATTTTTTGTATATGCTGCATTATTGGTGGCCAAGTCTGCAAGGGTGTTAAATTATTCTGCTCTCTGCCTTTCTATCCATGTTTCAAAGATCAGTAATTTTAGACAACAGTTAAAAGCATTGTAGCAACAATTTTTGTTTATATCTCCCAGCAGGTAAGAAGCAAAACCATAAGTGCTGAAAATAGGCTTAAACAGTGCTATAGCTGAAACAGTTGTTAGTCCTTTTTTTTCCAGTAAAATTTGCTTCTCTGCATGAATTTCAGAATTGCTTTTGTCCTGATAAGCAAGTAAAGTATTATGCTCACAGTATCTGATAGCAGAATATGTTTACATACAGGATGTTTATTGTATAGCCACTTTATGAAGCAAGTGCTGCCCATATGGCTTTTTCTTTCAGATGCTTAAAAGGATATGTCAACAGCAGCTTGTCAGTATTTGATTTGAGTGAACTTGGGATGGGATACTCAGGATACTGTCGGTACGTTTCCTTGCTCTCACTTATTACAATACAGGCATGGACATTAATGCAGACAGTAAATTAACAATGCTGAAATTGCTGGCATTCCTTTTTTGCCCTTAAAAGCATTGGAGTTCATGTTTGTTCAACATGGAGTCCTTGGGTACAAAGAGTGTGTGGTAAGATACACTGCTAACATACTGGAAATTTGTGTTTGAAGTTTTTGTAGGACCCCTGCAAGCCATTATCTTTCATGTCTCTATGAATTATTTAATATAATTGTTTTACCAGCTGCCAAGAAGGGTAAAAATCCTCATTTCAATTTTGTTAAGCATTCTCAAGTCAATAAATTAAAATATACAATTAAAATTTTTGTTACCTCTCTAAACCAGATTGAGATTACAATTCTTGCAAGCAATTATGCAAGATGAATATAAGAAATACAGCATAAAAATGAAATAGGACATGAGCACACTTCTGTTTTCTGACTTAGGTTTGCAGTAAGCATTAGTTTAAATTAGGATCATATTTCATTTATGCAAACTTTGTGTGGAGACTCTCAAAGGCTTGTAAGCAAAGACCAGAACCAATTTAGAATCAATACACTTAACACTCACAGCTTTGTAACAATAAAAGAAACTTTTTGCTCTGGATTTTTGGAAGCAAAAATTACTGTCTCATAAACAGCTTTATTTAACAGCCTGTATTTTGGACAGCTCTCCCTTTCAGTTTAACTCCTCTTGAAGTCTGCTTTCACTTCAGTTTCTCTCCTTTTAGCCAGATCTGGGATGAATCAGAGAGCCCTTGGCCATGTCAAAAGTTTTAGTTGCTCAAGAGAGCACAGAGTAACTCACTGGCTTTCTCTTTGCTCTGCAGGTACAGAGACTACAGAGCCCCACCATGGAGTTCGACTCCATATGAATTCACTTTGCAGTTTTGGCATGTTCTGGCAGCACGGCTGGCCTTCATCATAGTGTTTGAGGTTAGTTGTGGAAGGGAGCAAGCCCTTTCTACCTTTTATAGGTCTGAGTTGATTCTTTATAGTTGTCCTATAAAAAAATTGTCATTTTAATCAATTGTTTGTTCATTACAGTCAAGACAGAGGAAAAAAAATTGTGTTCCCCAAACTGCTGACTATCAGCTACTTCAAACAGAACTGACAGAGCATGCACTTGCTGTAGAACTCCTCTAAAATAATATTTCCTTGACAGTCGTCTTATCCATCACATTGGTTCCCTGCACAATTGTTCCTATTTTATTGCAAAAGAAGAAATGCAAGTTTCGTGTATATTAGGTACAGTTATTACAAGATAGAATGTGTGTCAGGAAGGTGATACATGATTCTAGGTTAATATAAAAGCTGAAACATATATATTAAGTTTGAAGTACGTATTGCATACTCCCAGGGCCTCTAATCACCTATTTTCATGATAAGCTCTGAACAAAGACTGCTTGTAGGTAGTGTTGGCATTTGTTGATCAAACTAGCATATCCTGTAGTCACATCTTCATTTAAGTCACCAACTCTACTCTTTGTTTTCCTTCTTAGAAAACTTCAGCATTTGCCCATTTCTTTTAGATGACTCATTTACTCCCATAAGAGTGTTTTTATTAAGAAAAAAACCAAAGGATTTGCCTTTCAGTCACAAATTAAATCTCAGTTCCAGTTTTGCCACAGACTTTTAGGCTCTAAACCGTAGTCCTGCAAAGGAATACTTATTGATATGTTAAGCAATTATTTTTGTTTTTCTTTTCAGCATCTTGTTTTTGGAATAAAGTCTTTCATTGCCTACCTAATTCCAGACATACCCAAAGACTTGTGTGACAGAATGAGAAGAGAGAAATACTTAGTCCAGGAAATGATGTATGAGGCTGAACTGGAACATTTGCAAAGAGAAAGGAAAAAGAATGGGAAACAGTATCACCATGAATGGCCTTAGTCACTACAATGCTACAACAAAAACACTTTGGAATTGGAGAGAGAAGTTGCAAAATGAAGTCAATCTGGCATCCGTGTGAGATTTGGTGATGGTGTATTTATGTTCTTGCTAGGCAGTGCAATTGCATACTTTGGTGGGCACCGAGAAATGGATGTTTCCAGTGATGTCAATGAAAAGCCTTACCTGTAACTGGTCTGTGATGAGCTCCAATGATAATTGGCATTCAGAAATGTGCAGAGTAAAAATCTGAACACTGTTTAAAAAAAGGCAATGGGTTTTTCGTGCTGTTTATGAACATACTATCAGCATGATGAAAACAGAAAATTACCTGTGAACCTATAGAGTAAGGGCATGACTAAAACCAACTTACGTGATATCCACTACTTCTACAGCTTCTGATTGCTCAGCTCCATCTGTAATGCCTCTGAAGAAAAGAGCAATTGTTGCCTTTGTGGCCATGACTTGATCTTTAAGGCTTACTGTTTTGTCAGGTTTGTCCTAGTCTCTTGTTGAGATTGTGGATGTGGTCCTACCCTAAAAAAGGGGTCTGTGGCTGCTAAATATATACTATGCAGTTTAAAATTTGCACATTAGTGTCATTAATTTATACATCTAGTTGAAAACCAAAAAGTCCAAATTCAGAAAGAAAACAGCAGCACCAGGAGAAGGTAATTTTCTATTTGAAAATTACACAGCTGTTGAGTTGTCCTTGCACTTTTCTGTGTGAAAGGCCATCTCCACACGCTTCCAGCATGAAAGAACTGTCATTTTCATGCTAACTGTGTTACTGTTCCTCTTGATCTGCCTGGGCAATGATTCCATGACTTCACAGAGTGCTAACTTGAAATACTCCCATGCAGTGCAAATTACTTTCTCTTCATATACAATTATATCTTTATAGTATGCAAGCTTCTGCCAATATATTTGAGACACACAGTATAGTATTGTGGCTTGCTTTTTCAGGGAAGGAGAAGAGGAGGAATTTGTAACAAGGTTCTTCTTGTAACAGTAAATATTGCAGTAATGTACACTTCTTTTATTGGCCTAAATATGTCATAACATTGGAGCTGGATACAGGCAAATATGTATACAGATTGTATATAAATGCATACACACACGGTATTTACTATTATTATTATTAGTAGTAGTATGCCTTCTTACACTTGGGGTGGATTTTTTGATAAAATCACTAAAAAAGTGGATGTTCATTGAAGAATCAAATTTCAGTTTTTATGTGCAAACAGCATACTGCAGTGTTTCTTGTGGTTAATAGTCACATTTTGGTGATGAAATTGTCTGTTACTATAATACTATATAATACAGGAAAAGCACTTAATGTTTAAACAAATTTAAGGGATACCTTGAAGGGAAGGGAATGGATAAACAGAGTTACAGTGGTTCTGTTTCTCTCCTACAGTTTTAAATAATGCTTTTCTGTATTGGATGAGAAAATCTAAAAAACAAAGAGTCAGCAAAGCACAATAGCTACAAAGTCTACAAATTTTGACATTATATTTAGGGATAAAGCTGCAGCAAAATCACTGCTGGCAGATATGAAAAGACCTGAATTTTTGCTATTTACATTAATCTTGTGTAATTAAAAAGTGTGATTTTAGTATTCACTTGCATTTATTATCACAATAATTTTATTTTATTTCACTGAAATTAATTTCAAGAGTCAAGAGCCCATCAAAGTAGGTAAATAGGATCTGTTGTATCCAGAGAGCCTAACATCAGACTTTCAAGTTCTTCAGTTGTTTCACCGCATTCATGAGCTTTCTTGATTAATTTCAGTTCTGTTACCAGACAAGGCACTTGTAGGAGTATCTATAGTACGGCATAAAAGGAGGAAGGAAATTTGAAGATCAGGCCCAATCAGGTATATTACCCATTCATTCTGTGATAAAGGGCGGATGGAACGCAGCTTGCCATCTTTTGGAAAGGCTGTTTTGTTCCTTCATCTTCTGGGTTGTGCATTAAATTCCTCAGAAGTCATTATCAGAAAAAATTACTGCACTCTTCTTCAGTGCTAATACAGTCACGAGGTTTGATTTAATTTATTGTTTCTTTGTCTCATTCTGTGGACTGTCACGCACTGTTTGACAGCAGTAACCGTGTTTCACAGTTTTTATTTGTGTGCCAGTTTGTGATAAAAATTGAATGCTACAGAAGGCCACAAATGAGCTCATTGTAATATTTTCTCTAAAAACAAAATGTCTTGGCTGGCCCAAGTTACAAAGATACAGAGTAAAATCAGGCAAAAATCAGAAACATTATTTTATACTTTTCTGGTTTTGCTGTTGATATTGGCATGTGTCAATACATACCAAGGCAAATTCCAGTGGGACTTCAAAAACCACATTAAACAATCTTTTTGTATTTGAGATTTACATTTATATATATTATTAATTTTTTTCAACACTGGGATATAAGAACGTATGAAAGGCAAGTATGTAGATCTGACATGGTGTATTTTATGCACTGGGAAAGGACAAAAAGCTTGGAGAAACACTCTGTATGTCCTTTACTTTTGGAGGACATCAACTGTCTAGCCATTTGGTTAAGCAGAGAAACCTTTTTGCTGGACTTTGCTCAGTATGCTGTTTTCATTGACTGCACGTTATTTTCCTAAATAATAAGGCACACACTGTCCTCAGGAATAATGTATTTTTTGAATGGTGAATGATCTTTTAATATTTTAAATATTGTCTTTTCAAACAAATGACTAATATGACTAGACTGTGCATGCAGGCTGCATTTGTGAAATTTGACAAAGCTTTAGAACCTCAGTTTGTGCAAAAATGCTTTAGATCATTGCAGATCTAATCTATGGAAAGTTTGCTCTATGCATGCGCCCTTAGAGACACTGCATGAGCAACTGGATTTTTTTATATATGAAGTATTTGTTCAAAATGTGTTAATTATTCTTAACCAAATTCTGCATCTTGATTCAGACAAAAAATATTTCTATTTCAGGAATGGCACAAAGTCCAGATACATGAGATGCACCTAATTTCTTACAACTTTTTATTCTTAATTTGTGCCTAATGTATGAGATATGAATTTTGATGAATAAAAAAAGGAAGATAAGAATTCTATTTTATTGCCCGTCCTAATGAGAGGTTCCCCTAAGTTTGTCTCTACAATCAGGGAGGCATTAAGAGTATTCACAACTGAGTGCTAAGGCTTGCCTGAGTGTTGAACTCAGCTCCCACAGCACACTGACTGAGAATCCTTCTTTGGATATTTGGAAACAAGGCAAACCTCATGATGAGTTCAGTAAAGCCTTGGAAACTGTCACCCATGGCGTTCTCCTGGAGAAGGTGGCAGCAGGTGCACTCTTAGCTGGGTTAAAGCTGGATGGCCATGCCCAGAGGGTGGCAGGGAAAGCTGTTTATCCAGCTGGCAGCTGGTCAGGAGTGTGGTTCCCCAGGGGAACCACTTCTGTTGGAACCAGTTCTGTTTAATGTCCCTTATCAATTATCTGGACAGGGGATCAAGGGCATCCTCAGTGAGTTTGCAGCCAATCCTAAGTTGGGTGGGACTGTTGAAGGCTCTGCAGAGGGACCTGGACAGGCTGGATCCATGGGCCCAGGTCAGTGGAGTGCTCAGTGTGGCCAAATGCCAAGTCTTGTCCCTGGATCACAAGAACCCATTTCGGTGCTGCAGGCTGGGGTAGAGTGGCAAAGGAGCTGGAGGTGCTGGCCAGGAGCAGCTGAGCATGAGCCAGCTGTGCCCAGGTGGGCACAAAGACCAATGGCATCCTGGCCTGTGTCAGAAACAGGGTGGGAGCAGGAGCTGACTGTCCCCCTGCACCTGGCACTGGTGAGGCCATGCATTGAGACTTGTGTCCAGTTCTGGCGTCTCATTTCCAGGCAGACACTGAGGTGCTGGAGCATGTCCAGAGAAGGGCAGTGAAGCTGCTGAGGCATCTGGAAAGATTAAGTCATAGGAAGGATTGGTTGAAGGAGCTGTGGTTGTTTAGTTAGATGAGGAGGCTCAGAGGAGTCCTATCACTCTCTACAACTACGTGGAAAGAGATTGTAGCAGGTGTGGGAATCAGCCTCTTCTACCAGGCAGCTAGGGACAAGACAAGGGAACATAACCTCAGGATGCACACAGTGAGGTGCAGGTTGGATATCAAGAAGAATTTTTTCATTGAGGGTCTTGAAACAGGTTGTCCTGGGAGATGGTGGGGTCATCATCTTTGGGTGTGTTCAAGAAATGACTGCACATGGCACTTACTGTTGTGATTTATTTGTCATGGTGATACTTGGTCAAAGATTGGACCTGATAATTTTGGTGATGTTTTCCAGCATTAATGATTCTGGTTTTTCCTGTTTTCATTCAAGGATTTGAGAAAATGGTGACAGGGCTAAAATTTCAATAGTGATTAAGTGAGCTTTTTTTTTTCTTAGATGCTTTTTGGAAGTACATATCTTCACTAGTATGAAATACATATCAGCTGTGGCCTTTTCCAACAACAGCTTGTCATAAATTGTGTTCTGAGCACAGTTAGGCTCAGTTGTGTCCTGTGGAAAGCTCAAAAGGAAAATATCTAGACAAACTGGTACATAAAGGTTAGTAGATAAATACCTTAATGGAAAAATTAATAAATTTCCAGAAGTTTCCTTCATAAAGAGTTCTACAGAAGGAAAAATACTTTGGGAAACATAGCTTCAGAGCAAGTATTAATATGGGGAAAGGCAAGAGTTTTGGCGATGTTTTATTCTTAATGTGCCATTAAGATGATCAGTCTAATCATATATGTAATGCACATCCTTGCTGTGGCTTCCTTCACTGCAGACTACAACTGGGAGTGTTTCCAGAGAGAATTTCTGGAGCTATGGAGTCTGTTAAGAGTTACCTGCCATGTCCTACATGGCATTGTGGGACTTAGCAAACTTTTGCATTATGTAACAATTTATTTGGAGGCAAATTAGCATAGTTAGCCTGTAAATGTCACCAATTTTCATTAAAACTATTATAAACTAGATTTTTTTATATATACTGGGTAGTAGCCTTATCAATAAAGCTCATTTTATACAAACAGCTACTTATGAATGTGATAAAGTTGATGGAAAATAAAAAAAAACCCACATTTTCTATTTAGTTTCTCTTAAGAAAATGGACAGAGAAGAAAATAGTGGTGTCAGTAATCACTTACAATGCAGTAGTACTTCCAGGAGCATTATATTTTTTTGGAATCCTCATAAAGTGCTGATGTTGCTTGTTTGGGGGCAAAGTTTGAAACAAATATAAGGGCGGCATTTTGTAATAATTATTTGATGTTAAGACTGATTCTAGAATTCAAATAGAATTCCTCTTCTAGGCAGACCTGTTACTTGCTTCCAATGCATACTTTGTCTGACTAAGATGCATACAATGACACTTTCTGGAAGTGTTGTAGTGAATTCTAACCTATATTCCTGTAGTAGAAAATCTAGTAGCTTCAAAAGTTCCCGGAGTCCTTTCATACTCAACCTCACACTTGCAAAACACACGTTCTTCTGAGGTCAAATTCAGAGCCAGCATGTGGAGGGTGAGAATGAGCAGCAGGCAGCAAAGGGCTCCTGTTCACCCCGGCAAGTTTTGCTCCAGAATTGCAACCGGCTCTGAAAAATAAGGGTTTGAGAATGGGAAGCGTGAGGACAGGCCTCCTGATCTTTTTTTTTTTTTCTCCTTTCGCTTATTCTTTACTTATCCTCAGTGTTTTATTGAACACTGCCTGCTGGGTGACAGTCCCATTTCCAGGGCAATTCTGTAAAAGCAGATTTTTTTTTTACAGGCTCTTTTTGGATGTCCCTGACTGAGATGCCAAAGCAGAAAGTGCGCAACAGTCTTTTTTCAAATCAGTTTGCCTTGGTGGGATGAAGCAGTGTGAGGAAGTATGGGGCACCTCTCCCTGTGCTGTTCCTGTCCTTTTAGTCACTTCCCCAAGCACCACAGTCTTTTCCCATTATGTCTCTTCCTACACATGCACATATATCCTAAACACCCTTCTTTGGATATTTGGAAGCAAGGCAAACCTCATGATGACTTCAGTAAATCCTTGGAAACTGTCACAGTCGTATAATTTTTAAATTTCTACCATGAATTCCTTTTGACAATTTTTATCTGATATTGCCATTGCAAACATATTTACTAGAAATTTGGATTGTCACAAGCTTGGCATCGCCATAATAGCACGTTACCACAGCAGCACAAAGTTCTAATGGCACAACAAGGAACAGTAGGGAAATCACTGCACTACTCCATTGTAGAAATGAACTTTTTAAATCCAGGACTGGGATGTAGTCTTGAAATGTAATGGTGTATTCCCTCTGCACTGCATTCAGAATGGTCTTGTGTGAGTTCTGCTGGCTCATTCTGTCTTCTTGATACAAGCTCTGTATTGCTGGCTGTTCTCTGGAGTTTGCATTCTTACTGACATGAGCTACTTGTTCAGATGCAACAGGGGGAGAAATTAGAATTAAACCTAGTGGAGTCTAAAGCTGGTGAGATTTTAACCACTGAGAACATGATGATTTCTCTGTTAATTAAAAAAAAAAAAACAGATCACATTTTCTTTTCTTGTTCTATTTAATTGACTTGGAGTTTCGTATTGAAAAATCTTCCAAACTGTTGGCTATAATTTTTACCTAGAGTAGTATCACTGAAATTTCAGTTCTTTGAAATAATCTCATGTAAAATCTAACTGAATAAGATACTTCAGTCATTTTTTTTACTCTGATAGTCCTGGCTAACTTGCAATATCATGATCATAACAGATTTCTTAAAATGTGTATATATTTGAAATTTATGTAATGTTTAAATACAACTTGATTTCTAAGTAAGCAGTAAGAACAAAATTTCAGCTATTTTTTCTACTCATAAATCTACACTTTGTAAGTAATATTTGAAACAAGTTTACAGTATCAGAGAGCATTTTTGGAGAAATCTACTTTTCTGTGCAAAAGCTGTAAGTTCCTCCAGCATGTCAGCTTTCAGTTTATTTTGTGTTTTAAGATTGCTTTTACAAGCAGCTGTGTACCCCAGAAATTAAAGAATTCACTGAGGAAAAAGTTGTAAATCTGATTAACTATTGTAAGACACTTTTGGCATAAATTTGTCTTTGGGATGCTGTTTACTTTATCAAGGTTTACATTTACAAATGCAACTAGCTGTATCATGCACATTTGATTATTACTTTTTTTTCAGTAATAAACTTGGATATCTTTGAAAAAGGCTGTGAGCTTTATTATTCCAAATAGTCAAAGATAATTAAAAGAATTGTATACTTGAAAAGTGAGTGCTCATGAGCGTTCAAACCATAGTCTTGTAAGAAAGTAATTTCAGGGTCATACTTGGCTTAGGAATTTATAACAATTAAATAGTCAATTATTTTGGCCTCAAGGCACAGCTAGACTCAGTTTTCAAATTTGCAGTCATTTATGTTATACTGCTTTGACTAGTGACTAACATTTTCTTAAATGTAATCTCTTCTAGGATTTATCTGTGCTTAGTTTCATAATCTCATTTTTTCAACCAAAGTGGACAGGCCAGATCCCCCTCTGAAAGGATCAATGGCTCAGGAAGTGGAGAGTAAATTTTTTAGTATTTCTTTAGGGATTGGTTAATTATAAGGCATTAAGTTGGTTTCTTAATACTTAATTTTTATAAATTTAGATATTTTAGGATTAAAAAAATATGATCAATATTACATTTTTGTTAAAAGAGTTTTATGATATTAATTTTTGTAGTCTAAATATTAATATAAAGTTTAAGATTTGTAGTTTTTGTAGGTTGAATAGGGAATGTTTGGTATAAATAATAGGTTTTTTGTGTAGTTTATGTTTGTGTGTTTGCTTTTTTGTTTGTGGAATTGTTGGTGTGAGTTTGAGTGGGATATGGTTTCATGTTTTTTGTGGGCGTTTATTTGGGTTTTGTATTTGTGGAAATATAATTTTTATTTTAAGTTATTTGTGGAAATTATGTTTTAATTTTTGTTTTAGGGGTTTTGATTAAAATTGGATGATTTTAAAAAATTTCATTTCTGCGTTATTTGAAAAGTGTTTTAAAATTGGAGGATTAGATTTTGTCAATGAGTTATTAAAAA